TTCAAAAGGTTTCTCCCCTGTGTGGGTTCTTAGATGCTGATGAAAAGCGCCACTATGACTGAATCTCCTTCTACACTCTGAGCATTCAAAAGGTTTCTCCCCTGTGTGGGCTCTTAGATGCTCCTGAAGAGTGCCACTCTGACTGAATCTCTTTCCACATTGTGAGCATTCAAATGGTTTCTCCCCTGTGTGGGTTCTTAGATGCCGTTCCAGATTGCCACTCTGACTGAATCTCTTTCCACACTGTGAGCATTCAAAAGGTTTCTCCCCTGTGTGGGTTCGCAGATGCTGTTGCAGATGTCCACTCTGACTAAATTTCTTTCCACACTCTGAGCATTCAAAATGTTTTTCCCCGTATGGGTTCTTTGGTGCATCCGAAGAGCGGCACGCCAAGTGAATTTCTTTCCACACTCTGAGCATTCAAAATGTTTTTCCCCGTATGGGTTCTTTGGTGCATCCGAAGAGCGGCACGCCAAGTGAATTTCTTTCCACACTCTGAGCATTCAAAAGGTTTCTCCCCTATGTGGGTTCTTCGGTGCAGCTGAAGAGTGTGACTAAACCACAATCTCTTTCCCCTCACTGAGCATTGAAAAGGTTTCTCCCCTGTGTGGATTCGTTGGTGAAACTGAAGGTTCTCACTTTCTCCATCTGTCTTCTCAACCATATGGCCGCCTTTCTTTCTCTTAGGTCTGCTTTGAATCTTGATGTTTTCTTTCAAGTCTTCATATTCAACTCTGTCTGGCATTTGCAGATGAAGTTCCTCATCCTCCTCACTCCTCTGATCATCCTCTGCTGGATAAAATAGAGAGATTCTGTTAGTACCTGGGAGGGCTGGTAAGGTCCAAAGGAATCTATGTGACTGCAGTAGGAGAGGATTGACAGCCTTTTGAACTTTTCCAGTTTGGCTGATGTTAACCACCTCTCCACCTTTCCTCAGATTATCTAGAATTTAAGGATACTACAACGCTTCAAGAGCCACAGCTGAGCTCTTCCCCAGAAGGAGTTTCTGAGCCTCCAGATTCCAAGCCCCCAGAAGGCCTCCATCCCTCCTAACCCAACGGGTTGTATGATTGTACCAAACCAAACATTGCTCAGAAGTGAATCAGAAATCCCCCATGGCTATTCCTTGCCTTTTCCCTTGACATAACCATCAAGGATACTCACTCGCTGTGGACCTAAATTTGGAAACTGGATATATGCAAAACAAAATGCAAAAATTTTAATTAATGGAATATTAACAGATGGATTTCAAGTTGAAAAGGGAACCAGACAATGATGTCCACTATCACCATTTTAATTTATTCTTGCAATGGAAATTTTTGCAGCTAAAATAAGACCTCTAAATCGAAGGACTGAAAGCAGACGGGGAGGAATTTAAATTAAAATGTTACACTGATGACATTGCTATGACAATTTCTAACCCACATATAGCCCTCCAAAATTTATAGAACAAATAGCAAAATTTGTCTCTTTCTCGGAATTTAAAATTAACAATTAAAAAACCCAAAAAAATCTTCAAATTTTTAACAAAGGAAGAAGAGGAAAATATTAAGAAAATGTGAACTAATGACAAATCTAGTTAAATATCTGGGCATAAATTTAACTGGGAAAAGTGAAACATTATTTAAAGATAATTATGATGTGTTCTGGAAAATAATACAAGAAGATTTGGAAAGATAGTCTAAATTAAAATTATCCTGGCTGGGAAGAATTTCATCAATCAAAATGCATATATTGCCAAAAATAATTTTTTCTTTCTTTATTCCAGATGATATCAATTTAATATACAAGAGAAACGTTTGAAAGATTGGCAAAAGCAAATAAATATGTTCATATGGAACAGCAAAAAACCAAGAATCAGAATTGAAGTGTTACAAGACAAGAAAAATAGTGTAAGCTATATTACCAAGCAGCGAGCCCGGTCTGGATTGCAGATTGGATTAAAAAAATTAAAAATCCAAATGACAGACTAATGAAATTAGAAACTGCAGACCACACAGAGGGGCTACACAACCTCCTTTGGATACAGGAAAAAAACCCAAACTCAAAAAAAACCTAAGGAACTTAACTGATTTTGAAAAAATAATCATTCAACAGAAAGATCATCTATTCGGATGAATGTACAAACTTTTACTCCAATACGATATAGGAACAGAACAAGTTAAAATGTGTATGCTGAAATGGACTTAAAATTTTGGGTGAGAATGCTTATTATAAGTAAAGATGAAAAATGAGTGACTTGTATTAAAGTTATTATAATGCTTTTTAATGTTTATATCAGTATAATGATAGCTTAGGCAATAATATAATTGCACTAATATAATTAAGGTTCTTACAGACAATACTACAATGGTATAAATATAAGTGTTCTCTGAAATGATGCTATATTTAAGACCATAAAAATAGTTTTTGGCATATATATGAACCTAGGTTATTGTTATCCTTTCTATTTTCTGAAAGGCTCTTAAAATGTACTCTTTGATTATAGTTTAATTACGACAAATGTAGTGGTATAAAGATGTAATGGGACAATTAATGTAATAATCAATGTCTAACATTTAATATTAATAGTAACTAATGGTAATAAAGGCTAGGCTTCCCCCACCCCCATTTTATTTATGATTTTCCTCAATTCACATTAACATATTTTCCTCCTTCATCCTTTTGGTTTGTTTTTTTACATTGCACATTTTTATTCCTTTATTCCTTTATACATTTGAGTCAAAATTTCCTATCTATTATACATCCAGTTGTAAAATCTTTCCCATCTTTTAATAAACACACTTTCATCTTTCCCTTGAAGAATTAAAGTTAACTTGTCCATTTCTGCTACTTCCATCAATTTTTCTAGTGTCTCCTTTCTTGTTGGGACTCTATGTTGTTTCCAGTGTTTGGCCAATAATATTCTTGCAGTAGTCATTATGTATGTTAATACATATTTTTCATTAAATTTACAATCCTCTGGTACCATATTCAGTAAGGCTATTTCCGGGGTTAAAATTATCTTTAGCTTCATAATATTGACCACAAGTTTTTGAATCATTTCCCAATACCTCTTGACTTTCTCACAGCGCCACCACATATGAAAAAAGTCCCTATGTTTTTGGTACATTTCCAGCATAATTTAGATGCCGATGGGTGACATTTTGCTATCCTATCTGGGGACCAATACCATCTATGGTACACCTTGTATATATTTTCTTTGTAGTTGATCGCTCTTACATATTTCAACTTTTTCCAGGTATTTACCCATTTTTCTCTATCTATTGTGTGACCTAGGTCTTTTATCCATGCCAATATATTTTGACTAGCCATTTCATTTTGCAGGTATTCCTCTAACAAGAAACCATATATTCTCTGAATTAGTTTATCACTCAAGGATAACCAAATCTTATCTAGTTGTGATCGTGTTTCTTGAAATCCTACTACCACATCCTTAGCATGTCTAGATCTGAGCTGCATAGCTTCCCACCAGGTTAATTTTAATTCATATAATTTTAACAGAGTTTCTTCTAATTTTAATTTGTTGTTTTCATCTAACAATGTTTGGTAATTTTCCCTATCGCACGGGATAATGAGAGATGGTTTTATGTATGCTTCTAGTGGTGAGACCCATTTAGGGGTTTTTCTTATAATATTTTTCTTTGATTTCATTCCATATCCATGATCATATGTTGTTTAAAATTTGAATGAATCTTATCTTTTCCATACCAAATGTAGGCACGCCAGCCCATATTCAGGTCATGCCCTTCCAAATTTAGAATTCTGACATTTTCTAACGTTAGCCAATCTTTGGTCCAGGTTAAGGCTGCCGCCTGATAATATATTTTCCAATTTGGCAATCCAAAACCCCCTTGTTCTTTTCTTTTTTGGAGTGATTTCCATCTAATTCTTGCTTTTTTTGGATACCAAATAATTTTTTTAATCTCTTTATCCATCTCTATGAAGAATTTGGAATTTCTTAATATAGGTACATTTTGAGCTAAGAATAAAATTTTTGGTAGTATCATCATTTTTATGGCCGATATCCTCCCCATTAATTATAACTGTATTTTTCTCCATTTCAAGAGATCTTTTTAAATTCCGTCTAATAATTTATGGTAATTGTCTTCCAGGATTGTACTATTTCTGTTGGATAACGTTATTCCTAAATATTTAATTTTTTTCAACACCTCTGTTATTTGATGTAAATTTTGTATTACTTTAGCCTCACAATTTTTTTGTTAATAAATTTAGTTTTTTCAGGTTAAGCTTTAATCCAGCTTTCCCCCCAAATTCCTGTATATTACTCAATACACGCTGCCATGAGGTTATTGGGTTTTCCATTATAAATACTAGATCATCCACGAATGCTAGGAGTTTAAATTCTTCCCCCCTTGTTCTAAGTCCTACTACTTCCTTATCTTTCCTTATCACACTAAGGGGAATGGATCTGTGAGGCAAAGCACCCCAGTTCCAAGGGTTAACATGATTGTCACGTGGCCTGGTCTGACTTCCAGGTGGTCGTGATTTGAGTCTCCCTGCAGCTAACATTCAGTTTGGTGTAGTGGTTAAGAGTGGAGATCTGGGTTTGATTCTCCACTCCTCCACATGAAGCCAGCCGAGTGACCTTGGGTAAGTCACTCATAATTCTCTCAGAACTCTCTCAGCGCCACGTATCTCACAAGGTGTCTATTGTGGGGAGAAGCCAGACTTTAGAATGTGGTATTTGGTTAATTGTGAGAACCCGTATCCAGTTGTGTAACCAGAACGGAGGGGAATATTCTGTCAAGGACCTTTGATTGGGTTGTTAGGAACACCTGCTCCTAGAGAGATAGAAAGGACAAGAGGCGGGACCCGCGATACTCGTGGAGTGGGGGGAGTATTCCCTGGCGCTCCCGGGTGGCTCGCCTGCTGAAGCAGCAGGAGCTCAACACAAAGGAGGGCCACACACACACACCCAACAACAGCAGCAACAGCTGCGGCTGAGTCTAGCCACCGGCCCTCCAGGGTCCCCCCCCGGCACCGCGAGCAGCAATGGCGGCGAGCCCTGTGTGGCTCTTTGCTGCGGGGCCGCCAGGCTACCCCCTCCTGCCGACAGCAACAATGTCCGCGGCTCCCAGCGCCAGCCCTTCAAGGCTTCTCCCTCCCCCGCCGCCACCACCAGAAAAAAACAGGAATGGCATTAAGCCCTGCAAGGCTCTGCCACAGTCCTATTGGAAAGTGCATTCCCTGCGCATGCACAGGGAACGCTCTTTTACTTTTGGGGGGATTTAAGTATCCCCCGTATACTTTTTTCAACTTTTTAGATTTTTCTGCACATCTGGGGATTGCCCCAAATGTGCAGCAAAATCTTTCTGCCCCCCAGGTGCCCCCGATGTGTGGATTTAGATATCCACACGCAGGGGGCGCCTTGGCTATTAGATATATAGATAATACGGATACAGACCAGAGGGAAACTGTGCTACCTTTATGCTCATGCCATGCTGGTATGCCTTGATATTTTCTTGCTTCATCACGATGAGTAGTTTTATGTAGAGTAACTTAAGCTACA